TGCAAAGACCTGTCTCTTCTCATCCCTCATCCTCCCAACTTCTCCTTTCTCCTTCCCACCCTTAATCTCCCTTGAACCCTTTGGTCTCCCCCTTCACCACCTCTATATCCCCCCTACTCTGCCCACCCTTGTCAGACCTTTCCTTTCTCACTCCAGCCCTTCAACCTCCCTATAGTCATTGGAGACTTAAGTCCCTCTAACACTGCGGGGCTCCGGTGGAGCTCAGAGACATGAAGAGCAACAGCCTGAAAACACTAATAGGAAACAGGCTGGGTAATTTTTCCACTCAGATGGACTTTAGAGACCCCAGATGGCTGTGTGGTCTCTCCTCCATCCCTCTCCCGAAAATTAGTCCACAGTCTCCATAGGATTGCACATCATGGCAAAGGACATCTTCAAGGTCTGCTCCACAAACTCTAGGAAAGATGCTTTAGCCCTCATATTGAGCTAGTTACTTCCATTTTCTCCATCTGCCAGGAATATAATTATTGTAAAAATGTAAAAAAATATACAACAAAAAAAACCTCAAATGTAAAAGTGAGGCAATAATGCAAGTCAGCTCTTTTACATGAGCCAGTAAGTTTTGTATTTTGGGTTTTATGCCTAAACCATGGCTAAATTTTTAAAATTAAAAACTAAAGCTGTAAGTTACCTATCTGTGTTCTTCTATATGTGAGTGCATGTGTGTATATACGTATGTATATGTGTAGAATGCATGTGTAATATTTTCCTAATTACAAATTGCATTACCACATTAAATTATAAAATTATTTTTAGAAGCTCCTGTTTTATTTGCTAAGATATAAATAAGAGGCTACAATTTTTAATATTCCTGAAATTCTCAGAAGCTAAGAAAATTAAATTTCTAATATACACAATGTGGGGGGTGGTATTCTTACATAAACTTCCCAAAATATTTTAAAAATTCAAGCTCACATGATATGAGTACATCTTTGGCAAATGAGACGAGTTTGATGTTGTTGGTTTAATAAATACATCTAGGTCTTCTGAGTTATCAATCTTGCAAAAATGCATTTTTATTCTAATCAGATATGTTTTTCTTAAACTTATACAGCTTTACTGAACCTCTTTGTTTTATAACCTAGATATAGTACTGCTTTATTCTAACTATATGCTTGTTAAATTTATGGTATATTATGTTTCAGGATTATTCCATCTGACTTTTAAAGAATGTTCCTCCATATTCATAAATTGGATGTAATATCCACTATTCTTTGAAAATGAAATAAATCATCATGTTTATGCATATTTTTTAAAAACTTTTTGGACTAACTTAAGTGTCACATAGGAAAATTTTCTTGTCAATTGTATTATTTTTATAGTGAACTCTCGTCACCTGTTCCCTTTTGAAAACTATTGAAAATAAAAAGCATGAGCACTTTAAGTCTTTTATCAAATACAGAT